TGATTACAAGGTATAAAGATAGGTCCGACGAAGCTCCAATAATTACATTCGAATTCTATGAATACTTTAGGTCGCAACAAAAAGTCTAATTTGCCGGCAGTATTTCCATTCGCACTCATATATGCAAATAATTCTCAAGCACGCTATCCTACTCTGGACCGGAAACAGAGGTAGGGCAGACTGTGAGGGATATCTATAATTCAGATTACGAGTGTGGAGCAGAATCAGGAAATAGCCCGAGTAGTCTTGGGGAAAAGAAGGAAGAGGTCGAAGATAAAATTTGGAATAAAAGAGAAAATAGAGAAATGGCGAGAGAATATCGCGCAAGAAGGGAGGCAAACTTGGAACTAAAGGCGTAGGGTATGGAAGGAATGAGAGAGAAACGAAGAGCGCGAGAGCTGGTACCGTTTGGAGATCCGAGTACGTCTGAGAGAGGCCAGTAATTTCTTTTTATATCCATCCGGCTCGATTCGAGTCGCTGCTCTCCCGCTTTCAACTTTCGTATTTATCTCCCGCGGCCTTAACACTTTACTGGGGATTGCGCGACAGAATTTCCTCGTCGTAAGAGATCGGAAACACAAGTTTTGCTCGTGAAAATTCGTCCGTAAGTATTTTTAGACGTTCAATGTGCCCGAACAATTGCAATGTTGTTACATCCAGTTAGGTAAAAAGTATAGATATATATTTGGATATTTACCCTCCCTTGAAATTGATCGCATAAAGTTTCGTTTCCTTTTTATTGGAAAGAGTATTTATGGTATGAGTATTTATGGTATGAGTATTCGAATTTTTCGATCGACCTAAGATTCATAGTTTGCATTGTTTTATTTTGTTGCATCAATGCAAGAGGATTCAATAATTTTTAATTTTGATAGATAAATTAAGGTCGTAAAATCGAATTAAGATTCATGATAACATTCGCACCTGTCGAATGGCCTAGGATTGAATATTAATGATGAGTGATATTAACACCATCAAATGCAATAATGCAATTGGGAAGTAATAATGTTACCCCGTAAGCGTATTATTAAATCGCAATACACGTGATGATGTATTGTCTTTTCTCAATGATTTGAAAATATTAACACGATCGAACAGTAATCATTAATCGATGATGCGTCGCTTTTTGCTCTCTTTTTGCCGTTATATCGTAATTACGTTATATACGAGTGAGTTGCATAAAGTGAGCGCAATCCATAATTATTGCGGCTGCATCATCGCACTCACTTAATTGCTAGCATTTTATCCCGTAACATATTGATGTAAATAAAATTGATGGCCGCATCCGACATTTGTGTAATAATTATCTCATGCACATTTGTAATACTTTTTGCATTTACTTTTTAAAATTACAAAGCAAGATTAATATTACGTATTATTATTGCATTGGCTGAATTTTTTTATTATACATTGTCGACTTTGTGTTTATAAATTCGCGGTATTTATACAAAGTGTCAGAGAACCTCATTAGTATAAACAAAAATATAATAATATCACTCAGATTATTTACGAAAATAATTGTAGGAAAGAAAAATTTTATATCAAAACATGAGAAACTATAATCAAAATGTTTATTTGTATTAAAAGACATTATCTTATCATATCATTCTCAAATTAACAGATGTAAAGAAATGTGTATGATGCGACAGGAAGTATAATAATCTGTACATTTGCGTATCGCGACGAATTGGAGAAACGTCTACGCAATAAGGACGATTATTTTAGGAGAAGAATCGAAAAAATGTACAATGAAAAGCAGGGAATTTGATATTGTGTATAAAACTACACGTATTAATATCGAATTTGAGCACGCCTGCTCTTTAATCTGCATTTCGCGCAGCTTGCTCTAAAGCTTCTGATGAGCGAAATATCGAACATCAAACAATATTTCTATAATTATCCCACGTTTGATCATGGGACATTATGGATGTATACTTTATGGAGCGACATAACTAATGCAGCGCTCCTATTTTCCCATTCGGATATTACGCTCGTGTAATAAAGCTGTATGATGTGTATCGCAAGCGGCGAAGTTTGCATACAATCAATCAACTACAATTGTGCGTAACACAAGAGGGGAGGGAGAGTGAAATAATGATCTCCTTGTTATCTCTAATACATAAATCGCGATATAAACGATTACGCGTGAACGTGATATTAAAATTGCCATGTACACAATTTCGTCATGTCCCAGTCTCGTTGTAAACATCGAAAAATGTATCTTACATCTTCATTATCACGAGCACGCGTGCAAGTCATTCTCTATAAGCGTTAAACTTTGAACTGACACGAAAATTCTATCGGTTTCAATCTCTGACTGGGGCAAAGTTCGACCGGTACCATTAACGTAATCCGATGAAGATCATCGTACTTTCAATAAATATATGGTGTGTGCGCGCAAGAAAGAGAGAGAGAGAGAGAGAGAGAGAGAAGGAGGGAGAGACTACGAGCTTACGACGACACTCGTGACAAGAAATTGCCGCCGCGATGAACTTTGAGAGGAGACTTTGAAGTTGTTACAACCTATCAGAATGGTTATTCGATGCTCTCCAAGTTGCACTCAGGTAGTACTTTTACGATCGGCGAACTCGGGCCGTACTATGTAACCTAGCGACGTATTTGTACGTAGCACACTTTCGTGATTCCCGTAAGTTTAACACAACTATCATTGGTAATATCTGTTCCCCCAACTTGCGACATCTTGGTCCGGTTTATTACGATTTGATTGCTTACCGTGCGGGCAGAGTGCAAGCGTACAAAGGAAGTGAAGTTTCCTTCGTTAAGAATCGCGCACAAGTCATCCTCAAGAAGGATTGACCTATTTATTTGATTTTTAAAAAGAAAGAATGTTCTTCATAAAATCCTCAGTTTTATTTTCTTTTTTATATACAAATGTACGTAAATGTATAAATTTGATATACATATATAAATTTGAATATAATAATTAAAATGTTTCTTGCAATGAATAACGATGAAAAGTGGTGTTTTAAAATAAAATAGACACGACAGGTTTTTTCACGTATCTGCAAGTTTTTTTTATATTTGAAATACATTTCTCTGCATAAAATACATTTTAACATTGAAAATTCCATGATAACGCAGAGATTTTCACCATTTAATTCCGTATAAAATATCTGTCGATAAAGGCTGTTAAAACTTCAGAGTAATGTATAATATACTTTTGTCAATGTAACTATGACAGAAAAATGAAATCGGACATAATAGATCGCAATTTAATAGAGCGTTATAGACAGGAACTAATAGGAATAGAAGCTTTCTTCATCACGGTTTGAAAAAGAAACTCGAGAGCAGCAAAAGTGAGATTATTTAATCTTGTTATTTCTCAGTAAAGTTTCTTCAGAGTGCAAGCGAACCATCTTTCATACTACGCCAAGTAAACAATCAAGACGTTTATGATCAATAAGTCAAGGAAAATACTTAAAATCTTTTTGTTTCTCATAAAGCAGCAAAAAAATTATTTAGTTTCATAAAATGTAAAATTGAATAATGACAAGTTCTGAAAAAACAAATATATATAAATATATGTAAAGTTCTGAAAAAAGAAATATATATAAATATATATTTATAGTATATGTGTACATATATATATGTATATTATAACATAATTCATATACAATTTATTATAAAACACACCATTACATAACTAATGGAATATATGGATAGACAAGCATTAATAACTTAAAAAATTATAATTCTGATTTATGAGGTTTCCATACGTATGTATTAATTTTCAAAAGCGATGCACAAGAAAATATAAGTACAAGAATTGTGTAAACTGTACAATTGTTTACATTCTTATTTTCAATTTTTACAAAATAATTTTTATTAATATACAAATAAAACTAAAAATAAATGTTATTAATATTAATAAAATATTATTAAAATTTATTCGTAGTCTTAGAGTTTGCATCAAACTAATATTGTATATTTGAAAGTAGAAGAAGCAGTAGAAAAATATGAAAAATACATTTTGTATGATTGCACAAGCGTATAAAGTTTGTAATAAATATAAGTAATTCAATTAATCTATAATAATTAAATTATTCTATATAAATCTTAGTTAAGATAAAGAGACAACTTGGATAAAGCTCAGATAAAACTACTTTAAATATTTACATGATATATCAAATAAAAGAAACAACAGTAAATAAATAGATAACAACGGAACAGCTTAAATTTTATGCCCTAAATTAAAAACTATCACATTGATTATATTAATGACATTTAATTTTTTATTCATAAATATGAACACAGTTGTCTCTTAATGTCATATTTGCGCTACTTTGATGTGTATATTTATGTATTTTCAATATAAAATATATAAAAATAGCAATTGGAATATACAACGCAAATTTTTTTCCTATTTTTTGTAATATTTAATTCTGTTTATTAATTATCAAAATAGCAAATGTTGCATTATAAAATATATTAATATTATATTTGTTATCGTAGAAACATTGAATGTTATTGAAAATACGAAAAGCTTCTTTTATTTGCATTTTTCTGATGATATATTAGAAATAATGTCAGTCTTTTTTGTACAAATATCCGCATTATGTTCATTTGGTCTATTGTTAAAACTCACTAACATGCACAATCTTTGATAGTTATTCCCTTTATGGACATCAAATGATCAGTAAATCGCACACCTGCTTCCCTCAAACTCTTGTAGTAAAGCAGTGTTAGGGCGATGGAGCTTGGCTGCTTTGATCTTGATTAATCAAGCGGGTAGTGAATATATCGATCTAATACATATCCTCGGTCTAATGAGCCATCATCGATGCATAAATCAAACATCAAAGTTACATCATCACTTACCTTGTTACGCAGCCTTACAAATAATCGGACAATTGATGGCATGTTTCTAGGTTTGATTCCTTCATTTATGAGCTTATTTATGTATGTATATCATAATTTTTTAGGTTAAGATGAATTAAATAACGCTAATGTGTTTTTATAAAATAATATTCAATTTGAAAAATATACTTTTATGTGTCAAGATTCGATTTTACTTAATAATGTAAAAGTTTAAGTTGAAATAGTTGAAAAGTAGTCACTTTTAGTAGTAGAAGAGCATCATTTTTTCATAAATAGATAAATGAATCATATAAATGTTTAATGATAGTCATCAGTTTACGGTTTAATCAGTCCTGTTGTATAACGTTTCATACGTATGCAATATTAATTTCTGTGTACCATTTGTACGACTTAATTGTACTTATGATTCATTAATGTAATTTTCGTCGCGTATTTATTAGCCTCATTTAAATACGTTTGAATGGGACATTCATCTTTCGTGTACCAATCCGATAAGGCCGAATAAATTTTCGACTCTTTCTGCTTATGCAACACCTCGCAAAGAGTACAAACGGCTCGTTTCGTTGAATCGTTGACTCGATAATATTTCTTCCATTCTAGGAAGCTTTGATATCGCCGCAGATCTTGAGAGAGATATTTCAAGTACGCGGCGAGCTCCTTCGGACTCTCGAAGTCCAAGGCATTCACGTAGGAATTCGGTGGTGCGAACTGACTGTAGTTGGCTCCTCCGTAAACTACCGGGACGACATTATACCTGCAAGAATATCGATAAGGGAATCCCATTATTGCTTGATAATATTTTCTTGCAATTTCGGTCATTTCACCTGCAAAGCTACGCACGAAAGAGAAAAATACGACGAGCAAATTGATGAATCAGGTAAAATCGAAATGACAATACAGAATAGTCAGCTTTCTATATTCACTGATAACGAATGCAGAATAGTAAAAATTAAAATTAAAAATTTCAATATGTATATATTGGATAGTATCTATCTATTTTTATTTTTAAAAATTTTTATTTGATAAAAATTTTTACATTTTATTTTATGAAATTAGGTTATTATAATCTGTAGAAAATCATATAATATAATTGTGATTTTAAAAGAAAGAAATATTTGAAATTTATATTTTTCTTAAATTGTCTGATATTTTGAATAATTTATATCTGTCAATGCAAACGTAACTTAAATTATAGTTAAATAGTAAGCGCTGCTAAAGAAAATTAGATAAATTATTAAATTTATGAATAGATAATAAAATTGAAAAATGAAAAATTGCAGATGTATCTTTTAAATATGAAAAAAGTTATTATTTTGTGATTCGTTCGTAATCAACTTTGGTTGCATATGCAATAAGTATCCATTCTTGATTTAAATTACAATGACATATTATATGCGGCCATTGGAAGATATCTGTTATCAAATATTGATTACGTGTGCTCATAAAATTCTAGTATTCGTAATATTGAACATATAATAACATATGAACATATGAACATATAGACATATGAAATAACATATGGACATATTTAGCGATTAGCGAATCAATGTCCCGCATTGTATCAAATGTTCCCTCGAGCACACAATTCGTATAAATAAAAATAAAAAAAGAATCGCGATATGTAGCGTTATTATTTTACTTTGCGCAATCTGACAAATTCAATTCAATTATTGACGCTTCGTCGTATCGATTTTATAATCACGCCGACAATATTTCAATTCCAAACAATCGCGGAATTTTGATGTCAACTTTATGCTCGTTACATTTACATTAATATTTAACGCGATGGCTGATATACACATGATTTGAATAGGTCGTGTATACTTTATTGAATATGAATAATGCAATACTTGCAAAATAAATCTTCATAATACCTTCTCACTTAAGTATTGATGCATCTATCACAACAATTTTTTTCCAAGAGAACATTAGCAATACTAAGCATTCTAAAGAATAATTAAACAAATATGATAATAATTAAAAAAAAATAAAATTTTAAATATTGTAAATTGTCTGAATTAAAATTTCTTTTAATTGTCTGAATTAAAATTTCTTTTAATTGTTGTTATTTACATGTAAAAAAACTAGAAGGATTTAAATAATTGATATAATTAAGACGCTAAGAGATTATAAAAAATAAAATATTTTTATGTCTCTCAATCTCTTATATTCTCTGATTTGCATTGTGATGACTCGTAGATCATCAGGGAAAATACTCCCTTCGTATCAGTTAAATTAGCTTTGTTTTCGCGCTCTGGTTGCGGATAACGATCCCTCGCGGTCTCGAGGCTGTGCCATTACCTGAGCGGGTTCATCAGCTTCTCCGTCACGTAATCGTCGCAGAAAGAATTCTCGAAGGACAGGTAGAAAAAGTAGTTGGGCTCGATTACGTCGCTAAAACAGTTGCTGCCTCTGTCACAACTAGATGTACCGCATTTGCCATAGACGTCGACGCCTATGTGCTTCGACAGCTCCTGCACGTACTCCATTCGGCCACTTTTGGCGTAGCAATTGCTTACAAACCAAGTTACCAACTTGCTTTTGCCCCTGACGATGTCCAATATCGCGGACGGCGTCTCGTCTACCGCTTTCTCTACACCTGCGAAAATTTGATTAATACCCATATTCGATGTATATAGCTAAGTGAGAAGACACACACGACAAGTCGCAAGTTACTCGTTATTGTGTTGTTCGAAAATTTAGCTTGAAAATTTTGCAAATTAGACAGTTTACATCTAATAAAAGATGCATGTAAGAAGAGTGTTAACATCACAAGCGAATAATATTCTCAAAGTCACATTTATTTGTTTTAAAAAATTTTAGTACAAAAATTTAAGACTGTCATTTTGCACAAATTAATACATTAATACATTAATGACTAAATAATTTCCGTATATTATGAGCAATATATTCATACATAATATCTAATTTTAAAAAAGTGAATGAAAAATAATAAATTGCACAAAGTGTATATTACTTGTATAATTTCGAGAAGCGCTCCAATCAACGTCTCTTGAAGGTGCGACGAACTTGCCACTTTTTACATCTTCTATTAAATTATAAGTCCATGGTATGTCACTGTCGAGACGATATGTCATCGTGAGATTGAAGTAACCCTCGTTGTACTTGTAAGGTATCGCTCTATTAGCTGGGCTTTCCAAGTTAACGTATACGTAAAATTGTTTCATCTCTCTCTTCAATGGCATTTCATATTCGTTTAGTTCGTTTCCGTGAAAAAGAATGGCGTCATAATCTCCGATATTCAAATAATCTCGTTTGTGAAAGATTTGGCATTTATTGATGGGACAATTGCGAAAAATATCGCCTTCTCCGAAATAAAAGTCTTTTCTACCAAACATCGTGTTCCACAGAAGAATAGTTTTTGTGCCTCTTTCCCTATATTCCTCCGCCTTGATGAATTTGTTCGTAAGTTCGTCCTCTTCGCGAACTATAAATGTTTTGAGAAATATATTCTGAATTTCGAAATCGCCATAAAAGGCGAAAAAGTAGAGGCAGATTGATATCAACATTGATACTACGATCAAGTTGATGAAGAAACATGATTTTTTGTTCATTGTTTTGGTGATACTTCGCCAAAAATATGTTGTCCGCATTTCGTTAGCAAGTTAATTGTCAGAGTCGTCGTATCCGGTACTGTATTGTGTTTGCATATTATTGTTTCGATATATTTAAGGAGTGTTATATAACCATAAATTCATCTGAATAAGTCTTTAAATAACACCTCGCGTCTATAGTATATAGTATATATCTCGCAACAAAATTTAGTGAATCCTATTTAATATTGACATTTAATATAAGCAAGATTAATTTTCCATTATTTATTTCACGTTTATTTCTATTATGTAAAAAAGCTTTACACAAATAATTTACAATAAAGAAGATTTTAAAAGAAGAAAAATCTAAGATCATGAAAGAAATTCTTTTTTTGCAACAAGACAGATGTGGTAAAGAAAAATCGTAAATATTACGTTTGTGTTCTCTATGTAAAACTGAAGACAAGTTGCGGAAGGAAAACTTTTTCGTTTAACAACTTAGATTTAGTGCCGCGTCTCGAAGAGACGTGTTAAAGTATTACTCATGTCGTGTCAACAAAACCGCGTTGCACGAGGATGATTTCATCATCTCTTTCAATGTTTAATTTTGCACAATGTTTCGTTACAAATACTCCACATGAATTATTTAAAATGCTTTGAGGAATATATGTTTGACCTTATTATATCTGATAAGGTAATTAGTTGATAATCACATGTAATTCTGTTCCCCTATATTTGCACTTATCGATAAATGCAAATCGTGTGTTTGTGCGTATATTTTCATCTAAGCACTGTTTTATATTTAACTGAATAAATTCCTCTTATTGAAATGTATTGCAAAATCTTCAATAAATTGAATGTTTATCACTTCTTGATTCTTTTTTGATTCTTTAATAGATTGCTTCCTTGACATGAAAAGATATTAGTTTATAGTTTTCAGCTCCAATTGATGTGATTGATATAATTCATCGAAGGCCAAGAGAATTTTCCTTCAACTTTTCACAGTATCTATATAAAACAAATAGAAAATATATTGATTTATAATACGGTGAATTTTATGGTAATTGAATAAATTATCTGTTATTATGTTCAATTTTATTAGCAATATAAAATATAATATAAAATAAAATAAAAAAATATAATATAAATAAAATAATAATATAAAATTAAAAAAAATTGTATGAAAACTTTCTTGTATTAGAGAATATAACAATCATATTAATATATAAATATTAAAAATAAGAGAGAGAAAAAGAGAGAGCAATAGAATAAAATCGTAAATATTGGAGATCATTTAAACTTCAAGGAAATATTAGATGCAAGCAGTGTTGAAAGATGGACGATTAATTCGCAACGACTTGGGATGAAAGCGCTCGATGAAACAGGAGAAATTTTTATGGTTGAATAATCGAGTTCTTTCAAAGGATCGTAAACGTTTGATGTTCTTTTGAAATAGATATTCTAGCCGCTTATTTTGTCTGTAGGATGTCTGTAAGAGAAAAGAGAAGAGGGGAGGAAAAAACGTAAATATGAGGTTTCGTTTGATTAAAAATTGCTCTCTTATGATATTTATTCAGCATGAATAGTCTTTTTGTCCACTTTTAGCATCTGTCTACTTGGAATGTACTTTAATCTATTGTCATAAGCTAACGTTGCGTGCAGTAAGTAATGGTTTAAGTGGACATATAAGATAATTAAAGAATTCTCAAATTGATTAATTAAATAATTCTTAATTATGAGTAATAAAAAGCGAATTATGAGCAATGAAAAACGAAGAATGGACAAATATATATTGTCGAGTTTGTGATATAAAGTTGTAAAATAAGAAACGTTCAAAAATATACAGAATGTAGGTATATTTTGTGTTAAATATTAGAAATCTTAATCGGGATTAATTAGTTTGCCTCTGCTTGATAGAGAGGAATATTTACCGTATATGAAAGTTTTGTTATTATTTGTACGAACATGATTATATGTAGTATTCAATATGTAATTGGTTAGTTAATATTGTAAACAAATGTATAACCGAAACATTTAATCCTAATTGACAATAATGAGGATTGCATCAAACCGGAGGCGGTTAAGTAGGCTGAATGTAGAAAATTAAATAGTTATAACGGTTAATTTTACGCTGTAATTATTTAGCAAAATTATGATTAAACATAGAGAATATGTTAATTTATTATGATTGCAAATAAATTAGAAATTACGATTATTATAAATATAACAATATATAATTATTTTTGAATAAATTTTTATTTCTCACACTTTCAATTATGCTGCTATATCAGCTATATTAATTGTTATACGACAGTTAATAAAAATAGTGCCAATGACTTAAAGATAAACAATGAAATTGTGAAAGAAATATCAAATTTATCATATGTACAATAAAATTATTTTTGATTTGCAATTATCTATATATTTAACAAAAAAAGCCTGATATATAAATTTATTATATTGCAATATTATATTACATGTACACATACCATTTCATATATATATATATATATATATATATATATATATATATACATACATATATATACACATATACAAGGTGTCCAATTCGTGAGGAATCAAACGAAAAGTGATGATAAATTGGGTCAAACTAAGAAGAAAAGTCCTCTACCGACGAAGCGACTTTCACACCGAATGGCGTGTAAAAAAATTAAAAAACCCAAGCTATCTATCGCAATGTGGTGTGGAAATGATAGCGCATCATTTTCCTATCGCCAAAAAAACGAAAAAAAATTCTTTTTAATACTGTTTGGCGCGGTATCATATGTCGCGTATCGCTCTTAATAATTATTGCGAATTTTGCAAAATGGTAGAGGACTTATCTTCTTAGTTTGACTCAATCTATCATCACTTTTCGTTTGGTACCACACGAATCGGACATCCTGTATATGTATATATACATACATACATATATATATATATATATATATATATATATATATATATATTATATAAAGGATTATTTCGTATCAAATAATTATTTTAAATCAACTATATATATGTCAATAATGTGTGTATATGTGTATGTAATTGCATAGTATTGTCATTTTTGTATCATTGACTTTATATACTTAATATTTCGATATTATCATAATTATCGGAAAAATTAACGATCGCAATCGATATGAAATAATGAATCATACAAGTAATGTTCCTAAAATAAAATAGCTCGAAAAACACTAAATTTATACTTTCTGTAACATTAGATTTATATTCTTTAGATTAATTAATTGATTAAAAATAAATAAATACATTTTATAACATTAGATTTTTTTGGATTAATTAATTCATCAAGAATAAATGAAGCTTAAAAAAATACTTCAAAAAATTAATTCATTAAGAATAAATGAAGCGTAAAAATTGATATGTACAATTGTTGTACTTCTGTCAAAATAATATAAATAGCATTTAAATTTATCACTTTTAATTATGATCAGTTAAATATTAATCTCAATCGATTGAATGTTAATTTTGATATTTTATAACAGTGCTGGGATTTACTTGCAACTTTCGGCCAGATTTCTTGGCTTACGCCTATTCATCTCCATTCGTACCTTAGTGACCGCGTCGCCAGATGCTCGGCGATTGTTTATTAATAAAAATAAATAATGATTCTATTATTAATTACGTAAATGTTCTGTAACAATTTAAAATATTTGTGTTTTGAAATGTAATTACAATAAAGGGAACTTAAATAGATAGATAGATAGATTGCCACATTACATTTGTGACGCGCATGTTCCTAACCGCTCCTTAATTACGAGCGATACGATCGATAAGAGGGATACAGTAAGCTAAGAAGTGTGGCTGAAAGTTGCAAGTAAATCCCACCACTGCTTTATAACGTCATCAAGACTTTTTCACAGACATTACGTCATGGATAAACGTTCGGCAATTTGAGGTCATGGCTTTCGTAGTCTGCGAGTGCGAGTGAGAAATTGCGTTAACACAAATCATTCAACATTTCAAACGCGATAAGCTAATTAATTAACAATTAATATTACTATTAGTATTATTATTAGTCAATAGTAAGGAATTTTCAATTTTGCTCCGAATTAATGTTATCATAAGAGTTTAAAAGCGCTTAATAATATCATGAAATGACGTTAATGATGGGCGTTCAAATGAGACGAAGGTCAGTTGCATAATCGTTATTTTAATTCTGGCATCGACAAAACCTGCTATTCGCGCGTATTTCATTTTTACGCATACGATACACATGTAAATTTCTGGCCAAGCAATTTGTACCTTGCGTGCTTGCTCGGGGATTAATTTCGTTCAATCCTATCACGCTGTGACACGTGAACCATTTTTCGTCATCGTATCCTCGGCAAAGTTTTATCACAATATGAGATGCACTTTTGTATCCGATTGCGCGTTGTCACGTAATCATGCATCTTGATCGATTGCATCACTTACGCACTGAATAACGAGTTTCGCGAAACGTAGGAAGCATATTGTTTTAACATCGCAGAGATGTGTCTTTTCACACATGCGCATTGAACGTGGTTTCATTCAAGTACCAAACTCGCGAGAAAAAGAATCTATTTATTCCTAGAGATTGATTTTTAATATTAATGAGAGGAAATATGCATTCAAGTATATAGAAAATTAATAGTATATAATTAAATAGTATAATTAAATAGTATATCAGAAAATTGCAGATTCTTTTTGCAGATATATATTAAGTAGCGTTAAAAGTATTAGTCATTCCTAGATTTTATTGACATTATGATGCACATGCGCAAGAACAAGCGTCCTGAGGACAACACTGATTCCAATCGATTGCATCACTCGCGTGTCGCTCCGATATTTTTCGCGAGCGGCATATAAGGCTGCGACTATCGTCACTACGGCTTGCTGCCTTGAAAGTTGCAACGCGACTGGTTAAACAGAGCGTTGGGCTCTCTATAACATGTTTTCTAGCCTAACCTAGTCCATCATCAATGGCGGAAAAGTAAAACGCTTCGCGAAATCCAACGTTCCGCCAAATGAAAATTGCGCGTGAAGAAACGTACGAGTTTATAATTAAAGTATATCGCCGCGATTCGAGAAAAAGAGAGGGAAAGAGAGGCAGAAAGAGTGATATACTATTGCATATTTTATGACTGCGTCGATTATCATCGTTTAACTGTAAATCGATGCATATTCATTTGATCACGTGTAATGTTGAGGCGTATTAGTGCAATGCTGAATATGACGTAAATAACGTGTATCATTCTCGTTTATCTTCAATGCAAAAAGATATGAATCACACCTGC